AAAGCAACCGAGCAGATAATGTGAATTTCCTAAATTTTTCTCCTAAGGAGAAATTCTTTCTCTCTCCACTGTGAAATTACAGGCTCATAAATGAAAATGCAGCTGGAAGCAGCTAATGTTATACATGTCTCTGAGAAAAATGATAAGGGAATCAGAAAACAGGGAAACGAATGCAGAGGAGAAAATGCACTCCTGTAAACAAAGGCGAAAACAGAGGAAATTGAATTAATTACATACGTGATGAAAATTCTTTAACAAGTTTAATAAGATAGTCTTTCACAGAAGGAAAACTGTCAAAATGGAAGATGGTGTTCTAAAATAGAGGTCCATGCTATAGCAAATTTTGCTAGGGCTAAACTTTACAGCTTTAAATAGACAGTGGATACAAAGAACAAGACAAATGAAATAATCAGACACAAAAATATCCTGATAATTAAGTTAATAGAGTTCTACAGATCAGATCAGAGATCTAACTCTTTGTTTTTATCAATGGTTTCCAAAGAACCAAGGAATTTTAAAGATCATAAGCAAAGAAAATGAAAACAGAAGCCTTTTTACCTTGGTCTTGTCAAGGTAAAAGTCCATTGGAATACCAGTTTTAACTGGCCAGTTCTTTTTGCAATTTTTTAGCAAGTGATTCTGTGATTCAGACAAAGATGTAAGACACAATGGTAAGAACAACATCGGAAGGGTTCTGCCTTTTTTTGGTTTCGCATTTGTTTCTTGTGTTTGGAGTAGTTCTGGAAACAGAATATCTTCCATTTCCACCCAGAGATGTGTGCTTTTCAAACAGCTTGGTTTTTACGTGCTAAGAACACAAATAGAGAAAATCTTGGCTTTGAGCCAGACATAACTTCAGTCGTATCGCATTTTCCAGGTTTGTTCTTTTCTCTTATTGCTTGCTTTTAGGATTTTAACTGCAGATTTTATCTATGTCTTTTGGACTTGCTGGTTTTCATTGTGAATATTGAGTCATGTATACAATTTATGAGAATGGAAACAAACAATGACAATCTCTCAAATTGTTAAAATGCTCCAAAAAGAAATAAAATATTGGTTTCAATTGAAAATACAGATACAGGCTAAGTGAGACCTGAGTGGCCAGTTCAAAATGTAACTTCACATATGATTAATATGCACAGGCATTTTTAAAGTGCTCCTAACTACTCTGCAGACAGCCACAGACGGTCCACGTGCTTCCCCATCCTTTCATATTCTCTGTTGGAATGTGTTTACGTGTATCACAGTCCTGGGCTTTGAAGCATCTGGACAAGCTATTTTCTTACCTAAACACCTCTGAGTGACTTATATGCTGAAATGAAATACAGGAACACTTACCTCTAAGCTTGTCTTTGCAAATACTACTCTAAAACAATCTTCATGCCTGAATATTAGCTTTGTAAATATGACTGACAGAATTTCCATGCTTGTTAAAAAACTTGACCCGTTACAGCAATAGTAATACTCAACTGTGCTCCCTATTAGCTGCTCTCTCAAACTCCACTCTGTGCTCATGGTATATAGCAAGTGACACTCCCAATAAAATGCAGTAAAAATTTACTCAATGTAATGTAAAATGTATAAACAAAGAGAAATAGGGGGAAAAAAAGAATATAAACCCCGAATGTGAAATATGGGAAGGGAAAAATACATTACAGTGATACCTACGAAGAAAAAAAATCACAAATTTTTAATTTTCCTTTTTGAAAAGTGTTGTTTGCCAGTATTTTCACTATATCTGTAGGTATTGCAGCCATATAAAATCTTTCTCTTTTTCACTCTCTAGATACATATTATACATACAAAATAAACTGCACATACACATGAGCACACACAAACACACATAATCTATGGTTTAACTCCAGTAAACCATATAACAGACACTGAAGGCTTGTTCATCTTTTCTGTAAACATGCTAAAACATCAAAATGATACCCTTTGTAAGATCTCTCTGGTAAGTCTCTTGCATTTGTTCAAGTGCCATGGTACTCCATCAAATCAGTCATATTAGTCTGAAAGATATATACTGAAATATCCGTATGGGCAACATTCTCTTAGTAGCTTTATTACATAATGAAATAATACTGTACTTATTATCAAACTAATTTACATAATCAGATTTTCCCTTTGACTGAAACAGAACTGCAGATGCATTTTGTTGTAAGTATATGGATTGGGCATGTGAGTGTGGGAAGGACAGCAGAAGACTTGCTAAGACAGAATCCTGGTAACAGGTGGGTGAGATTCTTGGCTAAGTCAACAGTACTGAATTATTCTTTCAAAACTTACTGCGAAGTACAAAATCACTCTACAATTGGAGGCTCATTATTTCTATTCTATGAACTAAAGTAACTACCTCTGCAGAAATGACTCCCCAAGCATGAAACCAAAAGCTTAAAAAGGACTCTTATTACTTTTGCCAAGGTAATACTATCTTCAGACACAGAGAATGTTTTAATAGCGAGGATTCAAAGGTATCAACCTCTCTCATAACTGAAAGCAAAGCTGCAGACACTTGTCTACCTTTGACTGAGACATATGTTTGTCTGGTTTACAGCTAGCATCCAGCAAGTCAAAAAGGGTCACAAAACATATTTGTAAAAAATACAGAAAAGTAAAATGTAGAAAAGGGCCTTAAATGTCACTGGACACTGGTGCTGGAATGCATCCAAAGAAGGGCTACAAAGCTGGTGAAGGGTCTAGAGAACAAGTCCTCTGAGGAGCAGCTGAGGGAACTGGGGTTGTTTAGCCTGGAGAAAAGGAGGCTGAGGGGAGACCTTATCGCTCACTACAGCTACTCAGAAGGAGACTGAAGCAAGGAGGGTGTCAGTCTCTTCTCCCAAGTAACAAGTGATAGAACAAGAGAAAACGGCCTCAAGTTGCACCAGAGGAGGTTTAGGTTGGATAGTAGGAAAAATTTCTTTACTTGTCAAGCACCGGAACAGGCTGCCCAGGGAAGTGGCTGAGTCACCATCCCTGGAGGTGTTCAAAGACGTGTAGATGTGGTGCTTAGTGACATGGTTTAGTTGTGGACATGGCAGTGCTAGGTTAATGGTTAGACTTGATGATCTTAAAGGTCTTTTCCAACCTCAATGATTCTATGATTCTAAAATTGTTTGCTATTTATTACTAAAAGCTTTCAAGATTAATTATCTTCACAGACGCTCCATGCCTAGGAGGTCATAGAAAAAATTCCTGAAGACAATGGAGTACATAGCTATAGTTTTGCACAATGACCTTGAGTTAAACTCTCCATTTGATGGTGGTGAGACTATACCTATTTGATTAGGACAAAGCCATAAAGAACAAACAAACTTTACATTCTTATTTTGCTAGACGAGCTACCAGAAAGACATTCAGGGAAAGCATATTTTCCATTGGATTAACCCACTGTATGTAAGTTGATGTTGACAGTAATGTTAATGACAGTAGCAGTAACTTTTAGTCTTTCAGGTGGCAAAAAGTTCCGCCTCCAATATTTTGTTGGAGAAAAACCCTGCCAACACTTCTTTTAATAGAGATGACTCTCAGGAGCTGACAGCGTTTTTGTGACTGTTTTCTTTTTTCTCAGATACATAAATCTAGGACCTGATCTCTGGATATAATAGTTTTATTTGAAAACTTCACTACCTATGTTTTAAAGTCTAAAAAGGTCCTTATAATATAGAAAACACTCTAGACATCCTGGACATTTAGATACTCCTGGAAAGAACAGTCTCACGAGTTTAGACTGTTTGCATGAAATCTCCACCTGAAATTGGAAGCATTCATAGGCAGGAGGTTTTTTATATTTAGTGCTATTTGGAACAGCAATGGAGTTTTGCCAGGTTAGAGAAGCAAAAAGGATGCCTGGATGCAGTGAGAGTATCCAGAAGGGTTTGCTTTCCCTAAGATCACCACAACTGCTGTGGTTGCTGCGTGTCACATTCCTTGTATGAATACTTCAAATACGACTGCATTTTCTGGAGCCACCATTCAGGTTGGTTCACATATTGTCAAACCACGCAGTGGTTGGCCCAATCATGTACTTTCTGTCAAGCCAGTGATCTTTTGTATTGAATCCTGCACTAGGAAAGACTGGTTTTGAAATGAGCTGTTCCCTAGCAGTAACCTCATCTCCCTGCTTGGGACTTTTGTCATCAATCAATGTGAAATGTGGGTGCTGAAATTCACTATTTCCTTTTCTTTTTTTTCTTTCTGATCTGTCCTCACTTTTAACTACTCACAAGGAATACCTCTCCTCTCAAACAGGTGAGGGTGAACCTGAACAACTCCCTATCAAACCAAATCTGTCAGTTGGTTTGATACCCAAAATGAGAAACAAGAAAGCCTGTTCAGAGCCTTTGAGGCTCAATAAATTGAGGAAACATGTTATGCTGAGAAACCCAAGCCATGGATGACAGGCACTGCACAGTCTTGCAAAGGACAAAAGACTGAACACTTCAATCATTTATCCTAGAGCTCTCAGCAGGAGATGTGACTTCACTACCGCTGGGAAACAAGGAGCAATCACTGTCAGATGGATAGAAAGACTGATCACAGGGTACTACTCTCTGGCAATCAAAGTAGAGAGACCAGTAAAGGAAAAAAAAATTTGATTCTTTTAAATTCTTTGACATATTTTTGGAAATGTTGAGCAACTCAGAGAGAAACTTTCCTTCTACCCTTATTGGATCAAAAAAAGTATAGTTGCTGTAGAATTGTCTCCTCTTACATGTATTAAGTATGGTGCCTGTGATGATACTGCAGCAACAAATTCAACTTGCAGCAGTAACAGGTGCTTCAACAAACAAAAGGCAAAACAAGATTAACGCCGATCAATAAAAATGTTATCAAATGGTTCCTCTTAATATTAGAAGACTTATTTATTTCTCTAATGAAAAGGGTAAAATATGTCTTCTTCAAGATGTGCCCTGTCACAATACTGTCTTTTTTCCATGGATGCCATAAGCGCACCGCATGAATATGAAGTGACATCTTTACTAACATGTGGTACTTACTTATCTCCCACAATTCCCAAGTTGATTGTTGGATAGCCATGTTCTTGGATTGTAGCTAGGAGAGTCGAACGGTTACTGTCCCGAATTTTTCCTGGCAAGAGGTCATCTTCAGGATTCAGTAGCTATAAAACCAGAAACACTCTCGGTCAGTCTCCTTGGAATACTGTGCCTTTACAAAAGTGTGAATTTTCTTCTTTAGATTGGACACGATATTCTTAGACATCTATCATAAAATATATGTGTAAAGCGATTTAGTGAATTTAAATTAATCAGATATGTAATATGCTTGTTTAGTCCAATCCTCCATGTTGCTTAGTTTGTTTCTATTGGTTCATGTCTGCAAAACCTGCTCTCTCCTCATGAGTACCTGGCTTCTAATCTCAAAACGTTAGAAATGAAAACACAACTTTAAGTTTTCAAGTTATTGCTTCTATTTAAATTGTTTTAAAGGAACTTCATTGATGTTGCTAACCAGATTTAAAGGTATTAAAAGAAATTTTGAAGGTTATTGTCTACTTACCAATAAAGGTGTTCTTTAAATACAACAATCTGTACTGGAAAATAGACAGAAGCTTAAAGCTTGGGTCTTATATAATTTACTGTTTTGGATGAAAAGCTTTCTTTCAAGACAGTAGTATGGTAATTGCCTTACATGTGTTATGTATTTTGGAAATTAAACTATGTTACAAAATCTGGCAAGATTCGGTCCCAGCAAGGGGAAGTCACTATCCAAAACACTGTCCCGAAGAAGATATAGTAATTCAGACCTTGATTCTAAACCTATTTTTCTTACCTCATTCCCTGTTGACATGACCGCAACCACTGGAAACTTGTTAACTTCTACTTCAGTGACTCCAACAGTTGCTAAGAGACCAATCTCAGACGGACCCATGTGGGTTCCTTTAGCCAGCACACATTCACCTCTTTTAATGTCATGTCCTATAGGTCTGAAAATCATAGCATAGAAAAAAAAAGAAAGAAAACCAGAATGAGATTGAAAGTATCTTTCCTTGACTGGTCCTGCTCCAGGTGAGGAGTGTCCAGGGATGTTCATTAGTCAGATTGTCAAAATGTCAGTACTACTTATGGTTTAAAAATGACTATAAAAATCACCAGCCCTTCTGTTCCTTACAGAGATATTTTACTGTTTATAAAGTAGGCTGTTTACAGACCTGATATCTTGGCCTGGTCGAGCCTGCACCAGGATTCGAACCTCTAGTTCTTCAGTGCCCTACAAAACCAAGGAGATCAAATATGGTCAGCTGGGCTATTCAAAGACTAATCAGCTTTAACTTCTCAGAGGTCTACACAGCTTACAGTACTCATTACGCTGAGACCTTATGGTTTAAGCATCATCACTGTTCTCCTGTAATACAATGTGTGCTAAAACTGAACAGCTTTACAAGAAATTCTCTCTTTGATGAGCTCACCAGGGAAAGACCAGCACTGAATACATAGTTTTACCTTCCTTTTTTTAATGATCCCTGTGTTTATATATCTTTCCTATGTTATGTCCCATGTTTGCCTGTTGATCTGGTATACTGAGTGGATTCTTTCTACCCCTCTCGGCCAACTTCATCTGCTTGAACAATTTTAAGGATGGCATCTCAAAAAGACCACTAGTTAGACAACATCCCACTTCATCTGCAGAAAGGTGGGAAGATGCTATCTGCTCTAGCTGTTTCAGGATTTTCACGTAGATTCCTGTAGTGGAAACTCCTACTTCAGAGCTTTGTACAAATTGGAAAGAGGCTTATTCATCATGTTTATTTACTGTGAACAAGAGACAGTGGCCTGAAAAGTCTGACACCTACTTTAATATTTGTATTTACTTCTTCAGAATTTCAATGGTTTGGTGATTCATTTAATCCCAATAAATGGCACATGACCTATATTGTTAATATCTAATTTGTAAGCCCTGCAAGTGGGTTCATGATATAGACTCTCAGCTTTTGAGATAGTGCCAGCCTGTCAGTACCTCTAAATCTACACTTAGACTGGAACAGATTTTGTTTTTACACTATCATGGAGCGCTTCATACTTTAAGTACCTCAAAGTTATAAATCAGACACTAATATTACAAGACAAAGGCACGTTCATTGTCATTTGGAATTTTTACGGGAACGATAGTGTTATATAGGACACTGGCACTTGTCTCCCATCTTAAAGGTGATATGGACTGCATTTTCCGAGTTCAAACTAAGCGCTTTAAACTAAAAGCCCCGAAAGTTAAAGTTAATGAACATGTTGTTACAGATTGTGATTCTGTTTACCTACTGTGAAAATGGATACATGTAAACATCTCAAAACCAGGAAATGACTAACAAAAATGACCACCCTGAAAAAAACTGATTTCTTACTTTATTACAGTATTTTCAAAATACGCTTTTAATGCAAATTCTGTTTCTTTTATACCTGCTCCTCTTGTGTAAGAGAAGAGACTATTTTTGGCTGCTAGTGTCCAAAACAGCTGTGCTGGTGCCCATGATGTCCTTTTATCTCCCTTATCCCCATCTGAAGCTGTAAAAAACACTTCAGGCTTGTGATGAAAATCTGGGGCAAGAGTTAGTCTAAGAATTATTTTATTTTTAAGACACTCTGGGAATAGTTGCCCAGTCAGGAAGATCTGAATTTTCCATAACATGTAAAGAGAGCTAGGAAGTTTCTAGGGAATCAAGAGGAGTGGCAATGATATATTTGAGTAATAGAAAAGGTCCTATTTAGGACCCCTGGATTAAGGGAAACAAGAAAAAAAAAGACTTTTGAGGAATTTAGTAACCCCCGGTTTGAAAAGCACCGTGGCAAGCGTGACTGTGGACAACATGGTGATGTGCAGAGATTGTTATTTATGGAACTGATGGATATCCTACAACACTTTAGGAATACAAGATAATTCAAGTTGGGTGGCTAGAGGTAGGGCTTGAGGGAGGTATTGCATTATGCTGAGAACATCTTCCATTTGGTGTGTATCACGCAGCATTCTTCTTGCTGTGTATTAATGTATTTTCAACTATGTCTGAGTGTTTTATTCTGATGGTTGTTAACAGCCAGCATCCATACTGATACACTGATACTTGGTCTTGATGTAGGATCTAACTCTTGTTTTGGTTAACCACATTGGCCTCCTTTTTCCTACAAGGTGACATAAAACCTCAAAATTAAAAGGGTGTAGAAATGTTTTTTGCAAGGATCTTTCTCAATGATTATGCATTTGGCAAGCTGTGAGACTTTTTCTTCCTGCTGGATAGATGTAATTCCTTTCAGGCCTGTGACTCCTACAGTCATTTGGGGGAATCTTTACTATGATATTTAAGTACTGCTAGCACAACTAGAGGTCAAGGGGCTCCTTTAAAAAGTACTCTCTGTCTTTTCAGAAGAACATTTTTCAGATGTTACAGATTTCATTTCAGTTAAATCACAACCCTGAGGGAGTTCTTAACAGTAAAAAGAAAAATATTCTTGAAATATGTAGCCACCCAGGCATGAAAACGCAGAGAAAAATAACATATTAATTAAACTATTCTAATTATTTATGTACAGGACTAGCAGAGTGGCATATTCATGGACAAGTAGAAACTGAAGAGTTCTACCTCACACTTCTAGGCAAAAAAAGGAAGCTGAACGTGGCTGACCATTTGCTAAGAAATTCAGAGTTTAAGCACATGGCCAAATAATCTATTCTCACATGCAGCAGACAACATGCACAGAGAAAGTGGAATCCAGGAAGACAGTAATCCAAAGAAGTAGAAAATAACAGGTTATCATTGCGCTGCAATGTGATAATCCTCTCATGATGAGGTGGGCGATGGCTACAGTAACTTGCTCAGTAAGGCTAGTGGAACAATTAACGAGCAGTGAAGGCAACGGTCTATTTTAGGGGAAGATAATCTACACATACATATCTGTAACCTCAAAATAGGACTCACTCAATAAGTGCTAGAAAGAAGGCCAGCCTAGACAGCTTGCTGAAAAAAAATCTATGCATTTACAGTAATAAGGCATGAGAAAGGATCATGAGAGAATGTTTCAGTTTTTGCTGTCTTCATCAGCTTTGAACACCAGAATCCCTGTGCTTACAGCACTGAGCTACGGCGAAGTGGAACAGCTTGTCAGAACAGCAGCAGAGGAGCAAAGGCTGATTTGAGCAGAGAACCACGCACACACTTCATTCCAAAACTGAACTTGGAAGTTGTGTCAGTAAGAGATGTATCTTCTTGACTTAAAATCTGTCAGATGATGGCAGACACAACAACGACACCTTGAAATCACAGCTGGGTAAGCGAAGGTAATGGTTCAGAAGGAATTCTCTGAACACAAAGGAAGTCTAAGATAGACTGTTTGGGATACAGTTGTCTACAGACAGCTTCTGTGCTGTTAAGACAACTGTTAGGACTTTGTTAAGACAACTGTGTGTACGGAATTAGTACTACAGTACTCATTCTCTTCTGTGGTATTTTGCAGCATCTGTAAGGTAAAGCACTAGTATGATTTATAGGTATGCTGGGAAATCTGTTCAAGCTGAACAGAGTTAAGACTATGTTCTGGGTGAATATGCACCTTATCCATTTCCTGGTTTTCAGAGCTCTTAAATTCAGTATTTTTCTCACTTCAAAGGAGCACAGAGGTCTATTGAAGAAACTTAGCTATGGTTTAAAAAATTTGGGCGGCACTTACTTCCTCAATTACATAATAAAAACTTTTTTTCTGAACATACGCATTTATTGTAAGATATGTGCACAAGACATTCTCCAAAATCCACCAAATTCACCAACTCTGATAATACAGAACCATCTTCATAGCATGGTTCAAAGCAATCCAAGCCATCCCATGGATTTTGCAGCACTTAAAACATTTCACTTTCCCACAGAAAATCATATTCAGCTTTAATTATATCAGCGGTAATGCTGCACTGTAATACTTCAATATATTATTCTGTGATCAATATGTATTTTAAGGAAATTTTTCCCCTTCTTACTTGGTGAGTTTAAGAGAACTTTTAAAGTCTCATCTTGCTGAGTTTTAAGATGATCCTGAAATATAAGGAAGATTGCTCTAGTGCTAAATGTGAACTCCGTAGAAAAGAAGGAAATACAATGTCTGACTGCCGCTACTCTGTATCTTGAAAATGTGAATACCCTAGGCACTCAAACTGGGCTGTAGTTATGGATCTCCAGGAGGCATTTGCCTTTCACTCAAATCATGCTCCCAAATACTTTGGTGTCAGCATTCAATAACTGTGATGAGAAGTCAATGTCAGGACAGGTAGGTCTGTGGTACTGTTACCACAGCCTGAAAAAGTGAGTAGAATTGCCACTAGGAACTGATGTGAAAATCTTCAAACTTCTGAGATTAACAGAAGAGCTTTTCTGTAGGACTATCTGTCATATTTACAGGATTGTATTTTCTGCTGCACACAAAAGAAAAACAAGTTTTAGCTTGTGACTCACATCATCCGATTCCCTGATGAGCTCTGTATCTTCCACTTGCACCACTGCATCAGCACCGCATGGAATTGGAGCACCGGTTGTAACGCGCATTACCTGACCAGGCATCACAGTCTGAGTTGGCTGAAAAATAAACAAACAAAAAATAATTTACTTTTGAAAAGAAAAACCTCAAACCATTTGAACTTAATGGAAAATCTGACTACTAAAATTCTTATTTGTGGCATAACTCTTAATATACTGCTAGTGGTATTAACAGGTATAAACTCCAATGTATTTAAAGATCATTAGGTCATTGCTTCAGATCTGGCTTTTTTTTATATGGTCCCATATTAGGTGGCTTCAGATTTTCCCCCTTAGATTTCTATCACAAGAATAACTTTCAGAAGAAGCAACATACTGATACTCTGGTTGGCTCAGAAAAATAACTATCTCAGAAATATAACAGTTAGATGGTGACCTTCTAGAAACTCACATGAGCAAAAATCTAGTAGTTCTCTGTACATAAATGTTTTTGCAGAGTACTCTGGTCTCCAGGGTTGAAATTGCTTTGCTTTGGTTTGGTTGGGTTTTTACTCTGTTTTGTTTTACCAGCACACTATATGTGGAAAGCCATCAGCTTGTAAGTAAAGTAACATAACCATCTGCTTCATTTTTAAGCAGATTTCCTCATATTGAGACAGCTCAAGAGTAGTCCACACAGAAAATCTATCTTTGCGATGGTCAATTTAGCAAAGCCTAAAATTGATACTATTCTACAATTATGTAAAGTCACAGTACATGACAAAGTTTCAGCAGAAGCAATACAAATAATAGAAAAATATCAGAACAACATGATAAAACAAATGACATGGTTTTAATAAAATTTCTCACCAGGCAGCCTATTTTAATACACATTTTTCAAAATCCAGAGTAAAATTGTAATTTGACCATAAACACTTAAAAATAACTAAAAGAAAAATCTTTCTAAAAGAAATGCAACTAAAAGAAGCTGGTATGATGATTGAGATTTCATTGCTGGAATACGAGTGCTTGCTCCCTGCAGCACTTTAGTAAGCCCAACTAATTTAGGCTTTACTCTTATTAGTGAACATGTGCTACACACAGATCTACACAGCTGTGATCAGACCAACATATTCTGTTTCTGTCACACGTATAATTCATGTGCAGATTGACTCTATATTCCATATGCAGCATTGGAATATGTCCAGGACTTCTCAGACCGTGATTAACATGTATTTGATCGCAACCCACAGACCTGCAAGCAGTACTGCCCATGCACTACTACCTGCTCCCACCCAGCAGCCATCTACTCCATGACTTTTGCCAGGAGGCTGTTAGGTGTCTGCAAACTCGGTGGCAAATGTTTCAGCTGCGCAAAGCTGTGTTTGCCTTACCCATTCTTTTACTCCATTCCAGCAGAGTCATAACCTCTGAAATGTGAGGATTACTTTGAAATGTGTCATGGTGGGTTGACCCTGGCTGGGGGCCAGGTGCCCACCAGAGCCGCTCTATCACTCCCCCTCCTTAACTAGACAGGGGAGAAAAGGTATAACGAAAGGCTCGTGGGTGGAGATAAGGACAAGGAGAGATCCCTCACTAATTGTTGTCATGAGCAAAACAGACTGAACTTAGAGAGAAATTAATCTAATTTATTACCAAGCAAAACAGAGTAGAGGAATGAGAAATAAAATCAAATCTTAAAACACCTCCCCCCCCGCCATCTTCCTGG